AGCTCTGCTGCTGAGGCAGTTATTCATAGGCCCACGGACAAGACAGAGAGCAAAGCATGAGTTGCCAACAGCAACTAAACTGCCAGCTAAGGGTCACTGAAGCTTGGGGAAATATCTTTGCCACCTGCCATACCTCATTAGGCAGATCTTTGGAAATGTTGTGGAGGTTCTCTTTTGTTATCAAAGACCCCCATTACAGGAAAATCTTTCAGCAATCAGAGGGAGCAAAGCCACTTTCTCCTGGTAGTATAGAAAAGGGAGAACAAAGCACATACGGCCCAAGGAAAAAAAAAAAAAAGAAAAAAAAAAAAAAAAAAAAAAAGAGGCAATATTACCAGGCCCATATAGAAGGTACTTCTGCATACACATTTGGCAAAGTTTCATTCATTTGGGTAATTGGATAACCACAGCATCCTCCAAGCTGTCCCTAAGGAAAGTTGCACTTTACATAGCTGCAGAGGTAGATTAGCTCTGTCATCCCTTGCTTCATCTTCTGCACTGGATCTTAAGAGGGCAGTGCTTTTAGCTCAGAGGAAAATGTGTAGTACATCAAGAGTAACAGAGAGTCAGATAAGCTATAGAGAGGAGAACATGCATATCAAATGCCAATTTCCAAAAAAGGGTTTTTATTTCTGTGAAAATAGAAAACCAAATGAACAGCTCTCCATATATATCTGGAAATGTCTCCATGGCCATAAAGAGAATATACATTACTGTGCTAAAAAAACAGATTACATATTCTGTGGTAATTAGAGCAATGCCACAGACAGACTTAAGGCCATGTTTGGAAACACATTTGATAATTGCACTGTATCTGGGGAACCAACTGTGCAGTAAGGAAATTCTTAACATTTTAAACTAAATTTTAGTCTATACAGCAGAGGGCACTAGCGATATTGAATTGACTGGAGAGTTGCTATTTTGGTACTAGAAAAATGAAAAAAAAGTTACTTAGAAGACAAAGAGGTGTCAACAAAGACTAAAGAAGCTGGCTGATGGTCTGTGTTCCATGTGTGGGCTTGTAAAGCTAAACCTTCGGTGTCTCTAGCATAAATAAGAATTGAATAGTAAATTACTCTAGTACAGAGCTCCAGATGGATCTTTATGTAAAGCCCATTAAAATATTTCCATAACACCCTTCAAGGCTTTAAATTAATTTTCCACTGTGATTTTGTGCTGGCTAATTTTTTTCCAGGGTATATCCAAGACATTTATGATTTAAAATTGCCCTGATATGAAATACCTGCACCAAGACTTCGTGAATATTTAAGCTCTGGAAAACAACCATTATAAAAGAAATTATCTTTTTACTACATTCTTCCAGCCACCAGGAATCTTACTGCTGTATGTCAGCCTCAAGCAAACCTCAGTAGCTGGAAGTGAGGACTAGCAATGTATTTCCTAATATATTTTCTGCTGGTCATGGTCACATTTTTGGATCATCATTTCACCTGTACTTTAGCAGCACCAAGTCCACTTAGTGTGGTCTTGTCCTAAAAAATGTGTTTTGCTTCCTGTACTAACAAAGAACAGGGCAAAAAGTCAAGTAATATAAATTAAGTCCAAAGTTAAATCAAATGGTGGATGCAAAACTAAGATTTGCTCTCACAGCCTCCTGGAAAATGTTGCAGAAGGATGACAGTATAGATATTCTGTACTTGTATATTAAGCAAGATATAGCTTAGACACAGAAAGATCAAACATACCAATACATGTAAAAACATATCTAAAACTTTGTATCCACAGATCACAAAATGGTGATCCTGTCTTCAGAATTATAGACTCAGAGAAGCTATCAATTAGTCAGTAACCAAACTTGTATTTGAAGTATGCACAGATATGAATTGTACAGAAACCTGACAGTGTCAGATTTTCCTGGAGGTCTTTGATAGATGGTTGTAGTTAGGCATATGTTTGATTGAGACATCCCTAGCACAGGACTAGGGAGAACAGTAAATGTAAAACCCACAGGCGATTTTGGTCTTCAGTTCAAGCAAAAAGCTGTTCTATGTGAATGATTCATTGCTTCAGTCAATAACCAAAAATAGGAAGGATATAGGGAATTTATCATAAGAAGATAAAAAAATTTATTTCAAAAATCTTTTTGCAACAGAGACATGGAAACACTTTGGTTTGGGTTAGACAACATTTACTGATCAGTCTCATAATAGGATAATTTATTTGTTTTAATAGTGTACGCAAGTGATTTCTTTTTCCCATGGAGCGTATGTGTAGTGATGAAAAGGCAAGATTTTCTGGATGAAGAACTAGGTAAAGGAAATGTTGGGAGACACCCTCAGGTTCAAGTAATTGGAACAGGAGGAAAGTGCCTTGGAGTATATGCAGCATGGTTTGGGATCATCAGCTTCATGGAGGCTAGAAAAGAGCAACTGAAGGGACTTGGTGCATACACAGCCTGACGTTGAGGGTGCTTGCTCTCCCATGGCCTTTCTTATTTCTCTGTACTTTTTTGTTCTATAAATGTTGTAGTTTTCCTGGTCCTTCAGGGAATCCATACAAGATTCAGACCAGACAATCAGAAAAAGAAAGGTAGAAAAACTGTATGACATCCTAGCAAGCTGGCCTTTAGTACTGAATTGGTCTGAGAAGATTCCTGTGCCTCTGCAAGCCCACGTGCTGCCTGTGCCACAGCAGCCTTGTACACAAGGATAACTGGCAGCTCTGAAGGCAGACATAGCAGGCTGAGTTCTCATCCCAGTTTCAGTGAAGATAAAAGTATTGCACCAGTGCAATGGTAAAATAATTAGTTTGTTGTGTTTCTGCATCTGTTTTATTACTTGTGAATGGAATTCATTATTCAGTCCAAGTCCTCAGGGCATAAGTTTTAAAAGAATTTTGAAAATGAAAAAGGAAAAACAAATTACTGAAAAAAAAAAGAAAAAGAAATTTAGAAAATTAAAATTAAAAAAGAGTGACAAAAATGCTAATACAATCACATTCACTATCACAGATGATGGTTAATTACTATTCAGCAACAAAATTCATGAATCACAGGTCTTAATTAAGAACCCTAAAATTGATATTAGGCTCTAATAGAATTCTTTTGACCACAATGGCAGGTTTTTCTTCATAACTGTGTAAGAAAGATGGGAACTATGACCTTTACACCTGCTTTTTGAATATAGTTTTACTGCAGATGGACTTTTGCAAGCAACCTTGAATTTTAGTGTGTTCCTCCACACATCCTGTTCAGCACCTCTGAAGAGATAAGAGACCTTGTGGTCCTGCAGTGAAAAGGAAGGTGTGTAGGGCAGAGACCCCTCATCTACTCAAGTACTTTATCCTAAACCCCTGAAGCTGATGTTCAGGAGTGCAGGTGTTGGCAGAGGGAAGGGATAGAAGGGTGGGAGCAGTAAAATCTAACACTACTGCCACAGGGTTCTCCAGAGCCGTGGGACAGAAGTGTAAGCTGCAGAGAGAGAAGTGACTTGCTCAAGGTTGCAAAACACATTAGTTTCATGAATTTTTCATAACAAGAATGATGTTTTATAAATAGCACATATAAAGAGATCAAACATACAGATACAGCCCAGACTTTCTAGTTCCCTTCAGTTTTTTAACCATTATATTGGATTTTTCTGCAGTAAATTATTAAAAATGAGATGCGAACACTTGCTAGCTCTGAACCTTTATAGCAGGTTTTTTTAAAAATGCAGAAATGAATTCTCAAAAACACATTGTCTGAATATATAACTAGAAAAAAAAAGTCTTTCATTAAATGAATTGCTGTGAGATGAAACTTAATGTATTTTCCTGGTTTGGTGGTTTTTTGGTTTGGTTTTGTTTGGCTTTTTTTTTTTTGTTAAAGAAAGGTCTGTATTTTTTACAAAAAAATGAATCGGTTTGGAGCCTGGAGTGGAAAACCATTGCCTTATGGTATTTTGTTTTACTGAATATATAGGTACTATCCATCTGGGTGCTCTGGGTTATAAATATGCTTTAAGCTTGCTGTAATTTCTAAGACTTCACTTTTGGCTGATTTATAAGAAATTTCATTAATCTCAGCAACAGAGGAATCTTGAACTGAGCAGCAGACTGAAAATGAACCGAAGGCTGGGGACTATAAAAACTGCCACACATGAATCAGTACTGAAGTTCTTAAAATGGTAATGATCATTTGTAGTTTGAAGGTCTTTTTTCCCTTTGCAGTAAGATTTTTTTGAGAGTTTTTTCAAGATGCCAATGAAACTGCCAGCCCTGCAGCTACAGGGATATTTTTCAGCGTTTAAATAAATGGCTATTCTCATTTCTGTGTTCAGTACACATTTGCTAATGAGTGTTTCTCTGCTGCTGGTGCCAAACAAAAGAATTGAATAGGACATATCATTAAATTGGATGATGATCAGTATAATTTTTTATTTTAATTTTTTAATTTTTTTAATTCTTATAGGCAAGATCTTGCCCTGTCATCTGCACGACACTCAGTTTTAGAGACTTACTTCTAGTTAAACTCTGATTGAGGAATCATGTTTGTATAGACAAGAGATTTTTACCCATACCAGAAACTTGCTTTTCATATTATCTGTTCTCTTGCAATGTGTAAAAAAGGTTAGCACCTTGAATACTCTGATAATTCCTGTCTTAGTAGATTCCTATGTTACTGACTTTTGCCTTTTGAAATTCTTGTCCTTTCTTTCAACTCTCCCCTGAGTTACACTTCTTTTAGGCATTCATTGTGATTGAACTTCTTATCTGCCATCCACCTGCATACACTGTACATTGGAATGTGCAGGAGAACTAATGTATGGCTATTTCTTATCTCATTGCCAGTTGCAGTTGACATACATATCTGTACAGAAAATAATATTAGAAATTCTATACCTGTTCTCACTATCGAATTTCAAGAAATTGGTAAAGGCTTGAAAACCTTTGTTGAGAGAACACAATTATTTGAGATTAATTTAATGTTCTCCTTCTCCTTTCTTCCTTTCTTTCAGACGATTCAAACTCCAGAAGGACCAACACCAAATAAATTATGAATGTTGAACAAGATGACCTTACATCCACAGCAGATAATGATAGGTCCTAGGTTTAACAGGGCCCTATTTGACCCCCTGCTTGTGGTGCTGTTGGCTCTTCAGCTTCTTGTGGTGGCTGGTCTAGTGAGGGCTCAAACTTGCCCTTCTGTCTGCTCCTGCAGCAACCAGTTCAGTAAAGTGATTTGTGTACGGAAAAATCTTAGAGACGTGCCAGACGGCATCTCCACCAACACCCGGCTACTCAATCTCCATGAGAACCAGATTCAGATTATTAAAGTTAATAGCTTCAAGCATCTGAGGCACCTAGAAATCCTGCAGCTCAGCAGGAATCACATCAGAACAATTGAAATAGGGGCTTTCAATGGTCTGGCCAATCTCAACACTTTGGAACTCTTTGACAATCGTCTGACCACTATCCCAAATGGGGCTTTTGTATACCTATCAAAACTGAAGGAACTGTGGTTGAGAAACAACCCCATTGAGAGCATCCCTTCTTATGCTTTTAATAGAATCCCTTCTCTTCGGAGGTTGGATTTGGGGGAATTGAAAAGGCTTTCATACATCTCAGAAGGTGCCTTTGAAGGTCTGTCCAACTTGAGGTATTTGAACCTTGCCATGTGCAATCTTCGAGAGATTCCTAACCTTACTCCGCTTGTAAAACTGGATGAGTTAGATCTTTCTGGGAATCACCTGACTGCCATCCGGCCAGGTTCTTTCCAAGGGTTGATGCATCTTCAGAAATTGTGGATGATACAGTCCCAGATTCAAGTGATAGAAAGGAATGCTTTTGATAACCTTCAGTCACTTGTAGAGATCAACCTGGCACACAACAATCTAACGCTACTGCCTCATGACCTGTTCACACCGCTCCGCCTAGAAAGGATCCACTTGCATCACAATCCTTGGAACTGCAACTGTGATATCCTTTGGCTCAGCTGGTGGATTAAAGACAAGGCACCCTCCAACACTGCATGCTGTGCCCGTTGCCACACGCCCCCCAGTTTAAAAGGAAGGTACATTGGTGAGCTGGACCTGAATTACTTCACATGTTATGCTCCAGTCATAGTGGAGCCACCAGCAGACCTCAACGTCACAGAAGGCATGGCTGCAGAGATGAAATGCCGGGCATCGACCTCCCTGACCTCTGTATCTTGGATTACTCCAAATGGATCTGTAATGACGCATGGGGCATACAGAGTTCGGATTGCTGTGCTCAGTGATGGCACGTTAAATTTTACAAAGGTAACTGTGCAAGACACGGGTTTGTACACATGCATGGTGAGTAACTCTGTTGGGAATACCACTGCTTCTGCCACGCTGAATGTGACCGCCCTGGATAACCCTGGTTACACGTACTTTTCAACCGTCACGGTGGAGACTGTGGAACCTTCTCAGGATGAGGCACAGACCACAGAGCAGGTTGGGCCCACACCAGTTACCAACTGGGAAACCATTAACATGACAACCTCACTCACTCCACAGAGCACAAGATCAACAGAAAAAACCTTCACCATTCCTGTGACGGACGCAAACAATGGGATCCCAGGAATAGATGAGGTTATGAAGACTACCAAAATCATAATTGGTTGTTTTGTGGCTATCACTCTCATGGCTGCTGTGATGCTGGTAATTTTCTACAAAATGAGGAAACAGCATCACCGGCAGAACCATCATGCTCCAACACGGACTGTAGAGATCATTAATGTGGATGATGAGCTTACAGGTGATACACCCATAGAGAGTCATTTGCCCATGCCAGCAATAGAGCATGAGCACTTAAATCACTATAACTCTTATAAATCTCCTTTCAACCACACAACAACAGTTAACACAATAAATTCAATACACAGTTCAGTGCATGAACCGTTATTGATCCGAATGAACTCGAAAGACAATGTTCAAGAGACTCAAATCTAAAACATTTATGACATTAAGGGGTGGGGTGGGGGGACAACAAAAGATGGTTTATAAAACAAATGACACAAATGACTGGGCTAAATCTACTGTTTCAAAAGTGTCTTTACAAAGAAAAAGAAATTTATTTATTAAAAATTCTATTGTGATCTAAAGCAGACAAAATTATGTGTATTCCTCAGAACCTGTTTTTGCTGCAGTTATTTACCCTCCTCGTTCCCGTTTTCCTGCCCAACCTACCCTGACTCCCATTTGCCATATTTTTCATAGAAGATCTTGATTCCCTAAAAGAACTGATCTAGGAAATTTTGTAAGAATTCTGTTACACTTTGGGAATTTTTATGGTGAATTCTAGTGGTGAGATTCGGTCTATTTTGTCACTTTCTCTTTTTTCTTTTGTTTTCTCATGCCCTTTTTGAAATTATTCAACAGAGAATGGAGTAATAACAGTAACTTTGCAAGTGAGAAAAACAAGTAAACCTTTTTTTTCTCCATGTAATGATTTGCTCTGTATTTACCGAAAGCACCATTCTGTGAAAAAAATGGAAAAAAATAGTAAAAAATACAAACCAAAAATTAATTTACTTGTGAAAGCCTATAAAACTCATGATCTTTTAAGCAATTCTAGAACCAGAATTTGTAGTTCAAACACTAAACTAAGATTATAAATAAAATATTGGTTTTTTTCTGTACTTGGATATAGCTCATTCTTAGTGTGGCTTTAAACATCAAAAGTTTGTTAAAATTCTTATGATAATCTGCTCTGATGGTCCAAATCACAATCACTTTAGAAAGAATAGTTAAACCATTTTGGATCATTACTGAAGGATATCACAGTTTTCATTTTAGTTTATGAAAACAACATACTGGCAAACAAGGATGTTTGATTTCTAATGCAATATTGAGATTGTTCCTTCTAATGGTGTTTGCGATTATCTCTACTATATCACAAGATGCTTTCACAATGCCAGAAAAGTTTTGCAAGGAACTTCAGTTGTCTCTGAATTTAACAGACAAAACTGAAAACTTTTTTCTGTTTTTTATTATTTATAACTGTCAATAAGAAAATTCATCTTTGTATCAAAGCTAGTGGTTTCCAGTTCAGTTGTTCTGGGACTTCTAGGCACAAATATGAAAGAAGCTTAGCCATAATAATACCTGTAATAAGAGCTGTATCCCTATGTGCAAAATCAAATCAACATGTTGTTCATGGAGTAAATCAGAGGAAGAAATCTGAGGATTTGGGTTTAAAGAATAGAAAGAACAAAGACAAATCAGAGGATATTTTAAGTTACTGTAATTTGCATGACAGAGTCCCTGTAGAGTACTCAGTTTCCATTAATTTAAACTCAGACTTATGTACCAATGGGAAATGTACATTCTTTGCCTTTCTGTTTATATACATTCTCTGGATTTAGCTTATTGGTATAGGACTGGTATATACTGTGCTTGCTGAAAGCTAAAAGGAAGGCTTTCCATAAGAAAACCCACTTCAGGACATTGTGTTCTTCCAAGCAGAAGTTCTGCCAAATTAAACTTTATACATTGGCAGCTGAACAGAAGCATTTTAAGATTATTCAAATTAGGAAAAAAAAGGAATCTTATATATGATTTCTGAATGCCTTTTCACCTGTTTGCTTTGTTAACCACCCTTTCTGAGGGTTTCTGGGGCCTTGTGCCTCTTAGCAAATTCTGTTTGGATATTTCTAGAATGGAACAGCATTCAGGATGAAGACCCCACTGAAAAATATACTTCTGTTCTGTAAGTTTAAGATGGAATTCCGATAGATTGAGGAGGTTAACATCTCCCGTTGGATGCACAGTTCTCAAGGTTGCAAGTGAATGTTGTAGTACAAAAGCCTGATTTAAAGAGGACACCGTGAAGATAGGTGACAATGAATCACACTCTGCAAGGAGTCTGATAAGTATAACACCGAATGAAACCCAAAGTTCTATAACAATCTCTAAGAAACATTTGGCAAGGCATTATCCTTTGATGTGCTACATGAAAAATAATATCTACTCAAAGGGAATTTTAATAGAGGGCAAAGATGGTCCTGAATGTAAAACACTGCAGCTGTGATTCCTAGGTTTGCCTCTTTCTTCAAAGTGCAGTTGAGTATTTCATTGGTGATTTCTTTTAAGCATTGTGATAGATTCTATACAAAATTAGTACAGTTACACATTCCCATGTGTTCTTTGCCCACCTGGCTAGGAACAGTCTGTCCATGGCCAATGCTAATCTGAAAATTGAAAACAAATTCCATTCAGGAAACCTAAATCTGGACTACTTAAATCTGTAATTAATTTATTAACATAAATTAATAATTTATGTTAATAAATTATGGCTACTCTAACTAGTATTTGTGAAAGCAGTTATGGTCAACATGGTTTTATAAACACATAGTATTTTACTAACCCCTAAAGTAGATTAGTAGGAGGCCTATAAGAAAATAGGTTGTTGTCAAGTACAATACTGGATCAGTGACAATCTTTGATCCTTTTTGCAGTAATACAAAATACTATCAGTGACTGTTTTAAGCAATATATTCATTCTTCCTGTGTGTTAATCCAGTTTTATTGGCTAATCAAAAAAACAAGATATTTCTGCTGGCTCATAATAATCATAAAGGAAAAACATTGGGGTATGTTTTGTTAGGTAAGTATATATCTGTTATATTAGTTATGATTTTCCCATCATGTTCCCTATCCTTGGAACCACAGATATTTCTGATTCCTTCCTACTTCTACAAAACACTCAGTACTTTTGCAGGTGAATTAGATACCAGAGTTAGAAAATATCACAGTTTAAATTATGAACTGAGCTCTGGAATAAAGTGAAAGGAATGCCATGCTCTCTTGTTTTGACGCTCAAATCACATGCCGATGCCTCCTGCTACTGCTCCAGCGATAACAATGTTAAGAAAGAGGCTTCTATCTCCTGTATGACAGAGCATAACTGTCATAAAGGTCTAATGATATTTCTCTTGCAGGTGACCACATTATGTGTGATGTAAAGCAACAGGGCAAAAAAAAATTGTGCTCTTGATTATGATGTATCGCTTTCTAATGGGCTCATGAGAAAAGATGCATCGTTCTTCAGTTCGTTTGATAGAGCTTGAAGATGTTTATCTGCTGTCCTGTACAAACAGAAATTGCAAAACATTTTCTTTCTGGAATTTTCATCAAGTCTTGCGAATCTTGCCATATACAGAAATAACACGTGTAAAAGCAAACCAAGTCAGTTCCATTCAATTCATCATAGAAGATGGACATTTCATTTTCCTTCCAAAAGGGCTAAATGTATGGAAAATAATAGATTAATTGTATTTTTTGCTAAAATATTCTAACACATTAAAAATCATACTTAATCATTTCAAGATTCCCTGTCCCCACTGACACAGGTTGATCACAGAATTAGAGAAAAGTAAATTAATATTGTTCTTTCTTATACAAGCTTCATAGTCTTATGAAAATGTTTCATAACAGCTGTTATAAGTTTTTATATGCTAGGTAGACCAATAGTGTAGTCTTTTCAGTGAGGGGCATGGAAAATCTCTTCACTTTTTCACCCCTCTCTAAAGGTTATATCCCATTTTTACATGACCTAAATACACAATTTTTGAAATTCTCACTGTTTTTCTTGAAGTCCAGGAGGCAAAGGTCTAAGAAATGTTAGGAGTTACCTTGCAATTTCTTACCAAAAGGAGTAAATGAATAAATAATTTATCCTTATCTTCTAGATGTAATAAAAACAGTTAGGCTTTAGTGCCTGGGTTTCTGTTTTTCTTAGTAGAAGAATTTACTTTATCTTTTTTTCATTTGTACAAGTGTTGCCAAGAAAAGTCTCATTTCTAAAATTTAATCTGCAGTTAGTCCAAAGGCAGTGGTGGACATTTTATTACAGAGATGATATTATATATTAGTATTTTAAAAAAACTAACACATGGAGCCACCATTATTGACATAGCAGAGGTTCATCAGCAGGGGATGGGCTTGGGGAAATTCTGGGAAACCTACCAGGTAAATCTGCAATTCCTGTTTGCCCTGCAACCTCACTTATGGTGGTGCCCTGTGAGAACACTGTGGTTGTGTCTAGTTTGTGGATGGAAGAGCACAGCAGGGCAGAAGAGATTTGGGTTGAGAATAACTTCATTGACTGCTCCCCACTTAAGGGCATAGATGCAGCAGTAATCAGCAAAACAGCTAATAGCTCAGGTCCAGACTTGCCCTGTATTGTTAGAAATGAGGAAAATTTTTTTTTATTTGTTTATCACATTTAATCACAAGTTGATTGTAAGTCTTAATGCACACTAAACAATGGAAAACTTGAAGAATAAAAAAAGTCAGATTTACAGTGTAAGCTTTACACAAGCTTTGAAAAAATATGAATATTGGTTTGATTGACTCTAGGATAGGTTTTTCAGTATTAACTCTTTTAAGACAGTCTTAAACTGTATCAAGGGAAATATAGGTTGGATATTGGGAAGAAGTTTTTTACAGAAAGAGTGATAAAGTTCTGGAATGGCCTGCCTAGGGAGGCAGTGGAGTCACCATTCCTGGATGTGTTTAAGGAAAGACTGGATGTGGCACTCAGTACCATGGTTTAGTTGAGGTGTTAGGGTATGGGTTGGATTCAACTATCTTTAAAGTGTCTTCCAACCTGGACATTCTGTGAATTCTGTGAATTCTGTGAAGACAAATGAGATCTTTAATAATTACATGCTGTTTATTTCAACAAGAATAAACAATGATTTTGTTAGGTGAGAAATGTGTAAGGAAATATTTAGTTTAATTTGTTTTGGTTTTGCTCCTTGCTCTCATCTTTATAACATACACCCAGATTGTCTTGGAATCAGAGTTCTCTCCGAAGGGCCAAATCAGTGAATTCTGACTGACTTTCCTAAGAGACCTCTTTCATGTAGGGTAGCTCCAGTGAGTTATGAAATTTTGGAATGTGGGGAAGACACTGAATTGATTACATAATCAGATGATTGTGTGGTCATCTTTTGTAAAATAAGAAAGTGAAAAATAGTTTGTTATTTTTGAGAACTTTGAAAATAAATTATT